CTTACACTCAGGTTCCTTCCCACAGAAAATGGAGGATGGATGGAGGCGGGGAGGGATGGCGTGTCCCCAGTTCCCTGGAGAGTCAGGATAGAGTCAGGATGTCCACTTAGACAGACACCCGTTGGACATGAAGCCAGTATCTGCACTGTCCCATCTCCTGCAGCAGCTCCAGCAGGGGACTAGGAAACAAGCATCTGCCATAACCGAAACCCTCCTTGTGCAATAGCCACTGTTGAGAGGGAAGTAGAAAAATGATGAATGAGCTGACAAAACCAGCTTGCTCTTGGCATTGGCAGACAGCAGAGACAAAGTAGCTAAGCTAGGAGTCTTTCATCCATTACTGTCAGAGACATCACTTTACCACTGATCCTGTTCTGATAAATCAAGTTGCCACACAGTTTTATTAGAGGCATTATACATCCAAGGCTACTTATGTCCTGTTAAGAGAGATGCATTTCTTTTTTAGCTCAATGTGGCTGAAATGCTGTCACAGAAGAAGAAGAGTCACTGTTTAGAGTGATATTGTAAAAAGAGGCATTACTGTAATTATAGCAAGAAGGACAATATGAGCTAGGAGCAACCATCTTCCTCCCCTGTCCCATTGCCTTTAGGCATCCTTGCAAAGCTGTAAATTTACTACTACAAGCATAAGAGCAGCACATGCCTTTTTGCCATGGCGACTGATCAGAATGGGAAGATAATGATGCTACTTACCCATTCACCATAGATCATCCATCCCCCCAAAGTGACTGGAGTACTGTAAGCAAGCCAGATTTATATGGACAACTTAACCAATCAGCTCTTTTATAAAGGCTGTCTTGTTCTAGCAATGCTAGATATGCTTAGGCATATATCTGCAACAGAAAGTCTTTCTTTTAGAAGCTAACAAAGCTCTGACTCTACTTGCACACTTAAAACCTCACTCTGCAAATGTTCTCAGTGTGGCTATGTTTTCATTAGCAATTTATTTTGTGGTAATAGGAGGCAACTAGCAGATCAAAGCAGTGGGTGTTGAGGCCTTTACACCTACACTACACATATATACCTATATTTACTTGTTTTTATACATGGTTTGCAAGTTCAGGCTACAGCAAGCCCACTCTGCTGGACCAGCCAGCCCCATCACAAGCATCAGCTCAAAGCTGCTCAGTCCCTGTTGCTGATTCCGATTCACCAGCCCATGTGAAACCTATGCAGAGCACAACTCCTGCTGCCTAGTTTGTGAGCACTGAATCTGCACTGAATCTGCTCAGATTTGCTGACCAGGGCCAGCCACTTCAAAATCACTCCTGCTCCAAACTGCAGTGGTCACACTGATGTAGCCTGTGCCCCTTGTGGAGACAGCGGGAAAACCCTCACCAAATACGTTACAAAGGAGGAGACCAGGTTAGAAAACTGCCGGCTAAATATACATAATGTATATATAATTCCCATTAACATTAGGCATTGAAATTGCCTTCATTTAAATGCAGCCCTTTCTATGTCTGGCCATGCTGCTCTCACGCTGCTGCTCCGCACCGAGCGGTGACGGGCTCAGCCATCATGGCAGTCCCTGCCACACACCTCACTGAAACTCCATGGGATTCACTTGTCACCACTAATTTGAGTGGGAAGGAAGGAGAGCACTTCTGCAGCATGCGGCTGAGCGCTGAAGAGGAGAAGCATTAGAGCAGCTATCAATTAATTAGCAGCAAGGCTCTCCTGTAAGCACAGAGCTATTCCCACCTTGGCTACCCCTGTGCAGCCCTGCATGCAGCAAAGGCAGCTGGGGAGCACACAGCTCTTCCCAGATGCATGGAGGAGGCCACAGGCCTTGGCTCAGGCACCCCAGTGCCACACATGGCAGTTGCAGACAGGGCGAAGCCAAGAGAAACAGTCTCCTTCCCATTTCCTTCCATTATCTTCTTAAATCCAGGCACAATAGCTAGCACTGTGACTCCCTGCTGACCATCAGCAAAGCATTAGAATGTCTCCATTTCAGTGTTTGCTTGTGATCCTGCCCAAGAAGAAAGGAGAAGAAAGGAGATCTGCAAGCAAAGTGCTCCTGTCCCTTGGAGAACAAATGCAGAGGGGGCAGAGAACCTCTGGAGTCTTTTTTTTTTTTTTTACACTTATTAGAGTGCATTTCATGGGACAAAGCTGGCCTTGGGTCAAAACCCAGAGCACACTGGGATAACACATCGGACACAGTAACGAAAATCCCTGAGCCAAAATGCACTAGACACCAGGGAAATACCTGCAGGAGGTATCAATACACAGTTGCCCTGATGCTGTAATATGAGGTGCTCACTAATGTACTGCACTAGCAGCAGGACACTGAGCTAGGTGGATCTCGAATGTGACAGTAAGGCTTCCTTTTTGGAGCAGCAGACCACGATGAAAATTACAATCTATTAATATATGCCTAAACACTGCTTGTAAACCCCCAAACCTCTTTCTCCCAGCCCTAGAAACATGCAAGTGAACACACGATTTTACTCAGATGGGTAGACCCCCCAGTTCCCACATCAGTACAAAAACATGAGTCAAAGCCTTTCAGCAGCTGCAACCACTGGAGGAACAGATTATTGCATTAGTTCATATCTTACATACAGTCACATAACATAAGGCCAAACCAAGATACATAAAATAGCAATTTATTGGGAGAAAAAATGATTATTTACAGATACTGAGTGTTTATGTTTTGTCATGATTAGTACCCCAAACAGAAAGAATAAGACGGATTCGGATAAACTGCCAACCTAAGGTTTTTCAAATCAACAGTTTCCTCCAAACTCACTGTGTCAGTGATCAGCCCAAAAACTGTACTCCACAATATTAATGTGCTTTTTAATTCTTTTAATTCTATGAGGTGCAGATAGAATATAGGCATCTTCATTTGTGAAGAAAAGGCAATTCAGCTTGCGTAACTTTTGATGCCAATAACATGTCTGTGAAATTAATGCCTTACTTACTTCATGCAAAAGGACAGGCCACTTAGCCAGTAATAGGCTGCAGGCTTGACTACCTTCACTATTGGGTCAGGGGCTCTTGCTCCCCGTTCAGGCAGAGCATATTCATGTTGTGAAAATTTTGAGGGTCTGATCACATTAGATTCACTATCGGTCTTCCCAAGATTTGAAGATTTCACAGGAGAAATTTTGAGAAACTTTGAGAAATTTGGGGATTTTGACATTTCAATTACTGTAAAACATTCATCACTCAAAGTCAGAAAGGACTGTACCTACAGAAAGTCTATTCAAGAACCCCAAATTAACCCATGAACATACAAAGTAGGCAGCACTGTACTCCTCCAATTCTCACTCATGAAAGTAAAAATAAAAACTAACCCAGGTTTAGAAGAGTCTTTACTTCTCAGAAAACTGCTTCACAGCTGTGACTCCTGAATTCTCTTTGTCTACTTTGATTTTCTTTTAATTCCTCCTCCTCTGCGCAGCAATAACTAACTGCAGCTAACACTTTTCCCTTTTTATTTTTTAATTAATCATCTGCTCTTTTTTCTCAGCCTGACAAGATGCTCTTATACACAGAGAACTGAAACTCTTTTGTGAGGCTCACAACAAAGCTCTTTCTCCTTTTCCTGCAAAGATTTTTCTCCTTTTTTTACCAGTAAGATTTGCTTTCAGAAAAAAAAAAGGGAACGTGTCAAAAAGCTCCTGGCTAGTCAGAACTTGGCCTCTATCTGGAAAAAAAAATCTCTTTCTACTCTAAACATAAAATGGCTTTTGGAAGGCATCTGGACTTTGAGGCACTTTAGCAGGACAGGAATACGCCTCTTCTAGTTGAGGTTAACAAGTTACATAGGCACCCACTGTAGCACAGTGCATGTTCCCACCACCATCATTCTGCTGCTTGCCTGGTGGACAGTTCATAGCTAAAATGCTGGTTTAATGCACAACAGTTAAACACACAGTTCCTAAAACAAGACTCTTCCTTTCCACTCTACTTGTGATTTTGGGAATGGCTACTCACTGTTTGATAAGTAAATCCCTGCATTCAGGAACAAGCACACTTCGGTCCTTTATAGACAACTGCTCTGAGCAGACCCTCTGGAACTGACTCCTTTAAAGAAGGGAGCTTTTCAAAGGAGCTGCAACCACAGTTGCTCCCATATTGCCAAGAATATTTTCAATATTCTTGATATTCACAGCAACTACCTGCTTCTTTCACAGCTGGTAATCTTCTAATCCAATCAGAATAACATGCACATTTCAACTGTGGCTCCTGTGTAAGCTAGTGTAAGGTAGCTTTTAGAGAAGAAATATTGCACAGAAGTAATAGGAATGCTAGGAAATGCTCTGGAAGTCTTCACATCACACTGTCCAGCACCTAGCTAGTGTCAGGACATAATGTATTCCACCTCTCAAGCGGAAGAGATTTCGTAAACATAAACTGGGATTTTCCTCTAAATTATATTTCTCAATCAGATGGCAAAAGTGTTGCTGTACTTCACATTATAAGAAAATTAATATAATGCTCATTTTCATTGAACTGCGTTTGTAGGAAATATCCATGTCCCTTTAGATTCCTTTTTATAATGGCACAGATAAAAACAGCATTTAAACCTGCAGCAAGTTCAAGAACATTAAATAAAAAGTCCTTGTATGCACTTTGGTCACATCCTCCTGCCTGCCTCAGGCAAGCCTAGAAGTCTGCCAGCATTAGAACATGATTCCTGTCAGGCACCAACCTTGCTAATTAAGCACTTTAGCTGCCTCAGCTCCTGCTGGGAGGATAAGGAAAGATAAGAGAAAGCTACTGAGATCATGAGAGTCCGTGTGGCTGAGGACTCGGTCTGGAGGGAAGGAGCAGCCAGGCCTGGGAAGGAGGCATCATCAGGGCTGTGTGCTGTTCTTATAAAATGCTTGGTCCATTACAGGGTGTGAAGGGAGGGGATGATGGCTTTCTGCCTCTACCAAGTTGCTATTTTCTTTTGAAGAAGACAGGGATCTAGGGGGGGAGGCTCTCAGTACCAGAGACCAGCAGCACCAGGAGCCAGATGCTCACTCCTTCACAAACCAGACCTCATTGCGTCGCCCATAAGGCTTCATCGGGGGGTCGTAGCCGTTGCAGAAGTAGAAATCCTTGCGGTACACGGCTTCGGTCCCCAGAGCCGTCTTCAGCTTGGCAGCATAATTCACATAATCCGCCTCTTTGGCATAGCCACCAAACTGCCTGCAAGGAAACCCAACACAGAGAGGTGAGCAGACAGTCCTGCAAGAGGGAGGAAAGAGAGAGCAAACAAGACAGTCATCACCTATAGCAGCCACACATCTTGATGTGGGTCCCCGCAGCATGCCCTTGGCACCCTCCTACAGGAACCAACGCATTTTGTCTGTGAGAGATTAACAGTCTCAAAGATCACCCAGCCTATGTGCAGGCAGCCACGAAGTGATCCCAAGCAGCCCCACACGTATCAGCCAGCAGCATGGCCCAACCCTTTGAATGAGTGCCATATCAGAGGAAAAGTTTCCCGGAGCACAACATTATCTCCAGGTCTGCTCAGCCCTCAGTCCTTCCACCAATGCTGTCAACAACCACGTTTGCTGTGCTGTGAACAACCATCCAACAGAGGCCAGACTATGAGGGGGAGCCAGAACCTGCCTAGGCCAAGGAAAGGGTTTAGGGGGAGTAGGAGATGTGAGCAATTACAGCCCCCGACGCTTTTCAAAAGGGCTGAAATTAGTCCGGTTTATGTTGACCTCCCACCAATAGGAAGTGCTTCCACATCAGCCTGCACCTCACTGCCCTGTCTCTGGGAGAAATTTTGAAACAAAACAGCCTGTCCTTGCAGCACAGCCCACGCGGGAGGAGCCTGCAGCCTGGGTCCATCCAGAGCCAGCCAAAATAATTCAAGAAATGAGGAAAAGTAGCACCCAAAGGGCTAAACACAAGATACATAGGGTTTCTTTTTGCAACATTACAATGCTTGTCTGAGTCCAGCATAACATCAATCGACAGACAAAGACACTCAAAGGCTGTTTGAAGCAATGCTGCTCATTACCCTGATGGATACTGGCATTTAGGCTTCAGTTGACCCCTATAGTTTGATGTCAGCCACCCAAAAGACATCCTGGATGACTAAAAAAATAGCTTGATCCCCCCAAATTGAAGACTGCAATGGTTTCCAGATATCAGGAATGACTCAGTCCTTTCATTTTCACCATCCCCTGGCCCATTCCTCTCCAGATGAGACAGAAAGCCCTGCAGGACTAACCTCGGCACCTGTTTTGCCAGTGATAAAAAACATTTTACAGATCCATGCAGCACAAACCACAATAAAAAGACATAAAACACTTGTCTTCAGTCTTTAATGATCTCTCCATCTCTTTCTACCAGGTGTACCCCTTTTTCAGCAAGACACCTGGTAAAACCAACATTACTCTTCAGCACACCCTAAAGGTCTCAGCACTGGGGACTAGAAATCCCTGAACATATTTCTTACGTGGAATAAATGGTCATCTCCTGTCTCTCTTCAATCTTAATGCTGTCATCACTAGGATGGGGAGGGTTGTCTTGAAACTGACTGGGGATCCTCAGAGATACCTTCACTTTCTGCTGTAAGGAGTCATCTTCAAGGAAAAGCAGTGATGGAAACAGGGGCAGTCATGCCCATACCAACTCCTGGAAGAGAAACACAGAAATTACGACGTTCTTGGGAACTTGGGGCATTAACAAGCGGTTCACTGAAGCTAATTTTAGCCTAGGAAGGCTCTTCCTCACTTCAATCTCCTTGCATACTTGGTGAAGACAAGAACATGCCTTTGGGGCACGCAAAACACCCGTTAGGTGTCTGCTTTCACCAAACCTCTTTCTCTCTCTGCTGACTACATAGGACCCTGGGAGATGAAGCCCTTGGGTGACCTCTGAAGGGCTCTTCATGTGTGGCCCTGTTTCTGTGCCTCTCCTGTTACAACTCATGCCACTGAGACACTCGGTTGCTCTGACAAATCACCTCTAACAGAACAGGACACAAAGGGCATGTTGCTTTTCTGCTCATTACTTGTGAAAGGTACTTTTGCCTTTCCATTCCCTCTTTCAAGGGAACCTCCAACACTTGGTATCAAGAAGCCACAGAACTGGCTGAGATCCAGGCATCTTTATCACTTAGTTGTACATTTTGGTGCCACACCTGCCTCTGTGCTACATGTCATAAAAGGCACCCTTCTCCTACAGCAATAGTGACCAATATTTTTCCAAAATACACTGCTGTATTTCCCTCTGTTCCAGCTCTTATTCCCATACAAACCATATAACTCTCTACCAGATATCTGAGGAAGGTGCGAGAACAAATACATATGCCTCAAAACTACTCTGTGGTCCTTCTCTTCCCATTACAGGTGATTACTGATGCACATACTTTAGCAAGTGGAGAACCAGAAGCAATCATTCAAAGCACCATTATAAACAAGCTCATTCTTCATTACCTTTTTTCATGAATAAAAATAACCTGAGCATATGATAAAAAGTGAAGGTCATAAAAGCAATTTCACTGCCTAAACAGGCAGCTCTTACACTGAGATCACAGCATCCCAGTTAGCCTGGACTCATTAGCTGCCACTCACCTATGCAGCATATATATATATACACATACACCTATATATAGGTGGGCTTCCCTCACCCTTGTCATTGCTGCCTCCGACGTATTTGAGGAGCTTGACGGCCGCTTCCTTGGAGGCCTCATCGAAGGGCTTCCCGGTGACCTCCACGGTGGCGAACGTGCCTCCCTCGCACGCGCGCTCCTCGTAGGCGACGTCCCCCT